ATTGCGGCTTCTGAAATTAACATGCCCCTTCCGGAAAAGGGGCCAGTGTAGACGTAGCCGTGGAGCCTGGGGTCAGCTGGTGACTCCTCAGCTGATCCCGGGCTCCAGTGTGGCATTTCCGCGGAATACGGGATCAGCTGGGAACTCCCCAGCTGACCCTGGGTTCTGGGGAAATGCTGCATGGAACCCATGGTCAGCTGAGGAATCCCCAGCTGATCCTGGGTTCCGCTGAAATGCCGTGGCTCCTGGGATCAGCTTGGGACTCCCTAGCTGACTGCGGGTTCTGCAGAAATGGAGTTCCCAGTTGACCACGGCTCTGTGTGGCATTTCACAGAGGCAGCGCAGCAAGGAGCCTGGGGTCAGCAGGGGACTCTTATGCATTTCAAAGCTGGCACTTGCGTGCAGCCCAGAGTCAGCAGGATTTCCTGCTGGCCCTGGGCTGCACGTGGAGTTCCACATTCCTCCTTTGAAATTACAAGAGCCCCAGCGGTCGTTTGAAGTCGATGAAAATTCCATTGACTTCTTGACTAGTCAATTAACTGCTAGTTAACATCCGTAATTTGTACTTCACAGTATTTCAGATCAGGCCCATAGTGCACAAATGTTTGCAAGATTGGGGGCTATTTTCTCCTGTGAGTAGTTACTCCAATGTAGAATTCCATTAACTTCAATATGTCTCCACGTGTTGGTATGTGTGTTATCCACAAGCATAACTGTTCACAATTTGATCCCCGTTATTTGTTCCCATCTCTTAGCGCCATTTCAAAATATGCCAAGACAACAAATATTGCACTTTCTTCTAGACCTTACATGATAAATTACATCATCCCACCTCAGCCTCAAATATATATTCATTCTCTAAGTAGTAATGAATGTCCTTTGATATAATGTAAGCTGCTAAAAGGGGTTAGCCTCTCAAATTCTCAGTTCAGAGAATTACAAAACAGAGTTGGAAAATACTGATCTTTTAGTCATTGCTTTTTGTTTCAATCATTTTTACTATTTTACAGAAGACGGACAGACACGTGCACTATTGCTATGCTGATGTAAGACGGGTACACTAAATGAAAGCTAAACATTAACATATGGTTCAGAGAGGTAGCTGAGTTAGTCTGTAACTGGAAAAACTTAAAAAACAATTAATAGTCTAGTAGTACCTTAAATACTAACAAAACATCTATACCTTACCATGAGCTTTCATGGGCAAAACCCACTTCTTCAGATGACTGGAGTATTAAAAGTCCAGATTAATACTCCAGTCACCTGAAGAAGTGGATTCTGCCCTTGAAAGCTCATGATACCACCTTCATGTTTTGAGTCTTTAAGGTGCTACTAGACTATTCATTGTTTTTGAAGGTTTTCCATTACATAAGAACGGCCGTACTGGGTCAGACCAAAGGTCCTTCTAGCCCAGTATCCTGTCTACCGACAGTGGCCAGCACCAGGTGCCCCAGAGAGGGTGGACCGAAGACAATGATCAAGCGATTTGTCTCCTGCCATCTCTCTCCAGCCTCTGACAAACAGAGGCCAAGGACACCATTTTATCCCCTGGCTAATAGCCTTTTATGGACCTAACCTCCATGAATTTATCCAGCTTCTCTTTAAACTCTATTATAGTCCTAGCCTTCACCGCCTCCTCTGGCAAGGAGTTCCACAGGTTGACTACATGCTGTGTGAAGAAGAACTTTCTTTTATTAGTTTTAAACCTGCTACCCATTAATTTCATTTGGTGTCCTCTAGTTCTTCTATTATGGGAACTAATAAATAACTTTTCTTTATCGGCCCTCTCCACACCACTCATGATTTTATAGACCTCTATCATATCCCCCCTCAGTCTCCTCTTTTCTAAACTGAAAAGTCCCAGTCTCTTTAGCCTCTCCTCATATGGGACCCGTTCCAAACCCCTAATCATTTTAGTTGCCCTTTTCTGAACCCTTTCCAAGGCCAAAATATCTTTTTTGAGGTGAGGAGACCACATCTGTACACAGTATTCAAGATGTGGGCATACCATAGTTTTATACAGGGGCAGTAAGATATTCTGGGTCTTATTTTCTTTCCCTTTCCTAATAATTCCTAGCATCCTATTTGCCTTTTTGCCCGCCGCTGCACACTGCATGGAAGTTTTCAGAGAACTGTCCATGATAACTCCAAGATCCCTTTCCTGATTTGTCGTAGCCAAATTAGCCCCCATCCTACTGTACGTATAGTTGGGGTTATTTTTCCTGATGTGCATTACTTTACACTTATCCACATTAAATTTCATTAGCCATTAAAATAGGGGTTACACTTGCTATTCTCAAGGAATGCTGACGTGAAAACTATCTTCCTTAAGAGCATGCAACTAGCTGCCTACATCAGCTCTCGCCTTCACGTACAGTTCACACGGTGGCGGGACTGGCATGAGAAGTCCCACATCACACAGACCCAGGGGAAGAGTCAACAGCCAAGCGGAGACGCCGCTGTCTGTACGGGGCTATCCCGGGGCTGCCTCGCGAGCTCTGCAGAGGTAGGTGACGAGCCGTGTAAGTGCCGCAGAACTGAATAATGACCCAAGCGGCCACGCCCGCTGCGGCGCCTCCACCCCCACCCGCACCGGGGTTTGCAGCCTACGGGCGTTAGGAACCGCACAGCGCGCCCCTAAGGCCTTTCCACTTTGCGGGCTGAGCCGGGCGCGCCTCCCCTCTCTCCCCTCCCCTCCCCGCGCTGCGGCGGAAGCTGGAAGCGGCGGGGGCGAGGCCGGGCCCGGAAGAGGAAGGGCTCGTGCTGCGGGAAGGCTTCGGACGGGGGTTGCTGCGCGCTCTGGCTGCAGGGCCGGCGGGTGAGCGGGAGCTGGGCGGGGGGACGCTCCGGGCTCAGGGAGGGAGTTTGGGTGCAGGGGATCGGGGTGCAAGAGGCCTGCGGGCTCAGGGAGGGAGTTTGGGTGCAGGGGATCGGGGTGCAAGAGGCCTGCGGGCTCAGGGAGGGAGTTTGGGTGCAGGGGATCGGGGTGCAAGAGGCCTGCGGGCTCAGGGAGGGAGTTTGGGTGCAGGGGATCGGGGTGCAAGAGGCCTGCGGGCTCAGGGAGGGAGTTTGGGTGCAGGGGATCAGGGTGCAAGAGGCCTGCGGGCTCAGGGAGGGAGTTTGGGTGCAGGAGATCGGGGTGCAAGAGGCCTGTGGGCTCTGGGAGGGAGTTTGGGTGCTGGGGATCGGGGTGCAGGGGATTGAGGTGCAAGAGGCCTGCGGGCTCAGGGAGGGAGTTTGGGTGCAGGGGATCGGGGTGCAAGAGGCCTGCGGGCTCAGGGAGGGAGTTTGGGTGCAGGGGATTGGGGTGCAAGAGGCCTGTGGGCTCAGGGAGGGAGTTTGGGTGCAGGGGATCGGGGTGCAAGAGGCCTGCGGGCTCAGGGAGGGAGTTTGGGTGCAGGGGATCGGGGTGCAAGAGGCCTGCGGGCTCAGGGAGGGAGTTTGGGTGCAGGGGATTGGGGTGCAAGAGGCCTGTGGGCTCAGGGAGGGAGTTTGGGTGCAGGGGATCGGGGTGCAAGAGGCCTGCGGGCTCAGGGAGGGAGTTTGGGTGCAGGGGATCGGGGTGCAAGAGGCCTGCGGGCTCAGGGAGGGAGTTTGGGTAGTCTGTGGGAGGTGTGGCACTTACCTGGAGTACCCCCCTCTGGAAGTGGCTACTAGGTAGGGGTAGGGTTTCAGCATGTTGCTGCCCACAGGCACCACCCTCACCGCTTCCATTGGCAGCAGGGATACTCACGGTGGGGACAGCGCATAAAGACACCCCCCCCATTGGGGCTGCAGGATGCATGTGTTGGCAGGCATGCAGAGCAAGCACTGCTCTAGCCCCGCTGTGCTGCTGACAGTCATGGCTAGGGCCGCCAGGTTGTTTTAAATCACCTCAGGGTGGCAAGGAGGCAGCGGGGTGCACTACGAGAGCATATGAGGGCAGCAAGTGGGCCCAGGGCAAAGACCCAGCCCTGAACTTTGGTAGAGCAGAGCTCCCAGACCAGGAATGTTCCTGATGCCTGGGCACCATGGGCCCATGTAATTCACTTCCCCTGATGGGGGATTCAGTGGCTGTGGGGTTCTAGAGGGAGCAGGGGGAGGTTGTGTGTGCGGTATGGATGTTAAGCGTGTAATTTGTTAATTGTGTAGTCAACAAATTTTGTGGACTACACGATTAATCGATAAGGGTTAGCACTGAAAGTATTTGGTCCTGGCTTAAGCTACCTCCACTGCAGCTTTGCAGTAAAAGTAATTTAGGAGCCGGAAGACAGGCAACCCGGTTCAGCTGCAGCAGGGGTAGCTCCTGGGACCCAACACAAGCTGGGATAGAGCCAGGCTGATGGACAGCCATCCAAAAAATTTACTGTTAGGAGGAGGGAGAAATGTATATAGTCAATAGTATTAACTGATCAGCTTTTGCTTATTGGTTAATCGTTTAATCAACTACACTGTTGCATCCCTAGTGTGGATACTGGAGGGGGGGTTTATGGAGGTTGTGGACTGGCAGGGGCATTATGTCTATGGGGATTGGAGGGGGTGGGCAGTGCTGTGTCATGGGGTCTGGTGGGAGGATGCTGGGGGCCATGAAGAGGGATCTCTACCTGAGATCTGCTATTGGTTTATGACTCCATGCATTGCTAGCTGTGGTTGTCTCAGCTTGACTCCTGTTTCCCTCCCCACACTTCTTACTGTGGGCTGGTCAGAAGTGATGCTTGGAGCCCACCAGTTTTGAGGCCTTTGACTGATTGGAATACAACCCAGGTCAGAAGTGATCTAAACGTTAGGGATGAAGCACTGGAATGGGTTACCTAGGGAAGTAGTGGAGTCTCCATCCCTAGAGGTGTTTAAGTCTTGGCTTGACAAAGCCCTGGCTGGGTTGATTTAGTTGGGATTGGTCCTGCCTAGAGCAGGGGGCTGGACTTCACGACCTTGTGAGGTCTCTTCTAGCTCTATGGTTCTATGATTCTATGACACCACAGGGAAGCTGGTACAGGTTGGATCTTCCTGGCCCTGGGTCTGGCAGCCAGTGCACTGCCTGGCCCACATCCAGGGAGCCCCCTGCTATCCCGTGCTGCCCCTCTGTATCAGAGGCAGCAGTGCATGGTGGCAGGGGAAGCTGGTCCACCACAGGAATTAGTTTAAAAACCAGCACCCCATGCAGACTGGCTGCCTGCCAGGGTGGCAGCAGCCCCTGTCCGTGGGGGGTCTGAGCTCCACACAGAGGCTGCTCTGAAGGATGAGGAGCAACCTCCATCCGCGGGGAGCTCAGACCTCCCACGGCCAAAGGCTGCTTAGCAGCAGCCTTAACAGGTGCCCTCCCACTCACCACTGCTGTCTCTGATAGAGGCAGCAACGGAGGCACTGTGGAGCCAGTGTGGTGGGGGTGAACCGGCTTTTAAGGTGGCTCCTGCTTCCCTTGGGATGCATGTAATCGAGAAGATTAGCCAATAAGCCTAGGCTTATCAGTTATTCATATAGTCAACTATACCTTGACATACCTACTAAACATACTGCTATATAATAGTTGTTCCTATTAGGTGGCTGAGGTGTAATAAGTTGGTTTCAGTTCTGTTTCTAGTAGATTGTTGTCCCTCAAAAACCTCTCATTATAGTTGGAATGTTTGGTAGCAATCCCGCTGTAAGTGGCAAAGCTTATAAACCAGTAGTGAGCAATCTATGGACTGAAGGCCTCATGTGACCCATTGGGATTCCATGTGTAGCTCATGAAACATTTTGTTTACTGTTCCTCATGTGAAAGGTTGCCAAATTCTGCTGGATTCCGTCCGCATCATTTTTTTTCCCCTACTCATATTACTAAAGTGACACACACATAAAAAACAAGTCATGTGAAGTGAAAGCTGATTGTACACATTGACTATGAGAGCCATATGCTCCCTTTGCATCCAGTCAAAGCACTGTTATGGCTCAGTTGGCATACCGTGCAAATTCTAGGAACACAAAACTACCCTAGCCCTGGAGATTGTCTTCTTTACAACAATCTTCCGCACCACTGAAATGAAGGAGGGACATTTATGTACCCCACTCACTAATCTAGGTTGCCCATTGCTATTGTAAACACATAGAGACTGGACTACTCTTTTCGTCTTAGAAGTGGTCTGTACAATACAAAGCTGAGGCAGTGAAAGGAAATTAATGCTTACCTGAATTTTAGATACTTAAGACAATGTCAGTCCAATACACAACTAATAATTTAAATTTAACAAATTTCATTACTTCAATTTTCATTAAGTGGATTTGGTCGCTGTCCATTTCATGTGTTTTTTAAACTGCTGCAATTGCATTTTATGTCTAATAGGATTTCAGAATGACTTCCACTCTCGAAGTTCCTCTGAATTTTGAAGAGATGTTTTCCCATCGATTCACACCAGATGATGAGGACTATCAAGAGTATCTGAAACGCCCAGCAGATCCACCTCCTTTAGTAGAAGAATGGAAAAATAGATCTGGTGGTAACCAGAGAAATAGAGATCGGTACTAATATTTAAAATTTGTTAGTTTCACAAACCACTCTGATGTCATAGCTAGAATTCTAAGATATTTATCTGCTTCCGAGTAAAAAGCAGGTTTGCTATATATACCAGATTATTATTTGGCAGGTCTCTTGATCTGAAAGAAATTCATCTCTCTCCAGGGTAACAGATAGGATTTTTCTAAAATGATACTAGCAATGTTTTTTTCATTCTATATAAGAGTATGAAGCAGACTGCTATTCTGTAAGGAATGAGCTGGAACCACTTAAATCATTGCCCTTGGGGCCCACAAACTGTCCACAAACTGATTTTTTTTAAGAGGAAAGATCAGAGGTTTGTTTGCTCAACCACAAACAGCTTGTCTTTGGGAAGTATAATTGTCAACAGAAAACAGTCTGCCAACTAACACACCAGAGACACGATAACTCTTTCTACAACTAGCAAAAATATTATTTGCAACCCAGATAATATTTGAAATATTGTGACTAGGCTAGCTTGCATTTCATGTATATATATTCTGTAGACATCTGCCTCTTGCAAGTGCACTGGAAGGTCATATTATATGCCTACCAAAAATGTTTTGAATTATACTGTTTTTCTCCAGGCTGCGAGAGTTGCTTTTTACTCTTAACTTAATCTTGGATACTGACATATGATTTGGGGTATTGAAAAAAGTACACATTCCTGCATTTGATGTTCAGGCAATTTTTTCAAAGTTCTGCTGCTATTGGATTTCATATTAAGTTACCCTAAGTGTTTGCAGACCTGGGACTTAAGTATATCTACACTGCAGAGCTTTTTTCGTAAAAATGGCCGCTTTTCTGAAAAAACTTCACTTACGTAACACACTGCAATTGCATTCTTTCAAAAAAAAAAATCAAAAGAACAGAGGGGGTTTTCCAACATTGGTAAAACTCTTTCTACAAGGAGGAAGCCTTTTTCCAAAAGAGCTCTTTCGGAAAATGACATGTGAACAGGGAGTTCTTTCAAAAGAAGAAGAAAAAGCACACGTGCCCTTGTGGCCATTCTGTCCATAGTAATCAGAGCTTAAATGTGAGAGTGTCTCCACACTGAATGGATGCTAGCTTTCGAAAAAGCAGATCACTTTTTTGATGCGCTTTTGCTGTGCCGATTCTCTCTTTCAGAAGAAGTTTTTTGGAAGATCTCTTCCAGAAAAGCTTCTGAAAGAAGCCTGTAGTCTAGGCATAGCCTTAGACACATCAGTGAAATTTCTCATATGCATTAAGTGCTTAAGTGTTTGCTGAATTGGAGCCTTATTTTTCTAACAATAAATCCAACATTTTCATTATTCTACAAATTTGTCATTGTCTTCACATTTAAGTTGTAAATTACACTTTACCCAAACTAGTGATTGTTGAAGAAATTACGTTTTCAAAATCTGTCTTATGAATTACTTATGAACTTTTATGCTAAGTTTTAGTAAATCATTACTCTTCTGAGACTTTCTTTTTAATCGTTTATTTGAAAGCTAATATTTTTTCCTCTACAAGACAGCCAGTAATTTGTTGTGTAGTATAAGTAGTTGATCTGTCTTCCTATCTTCGGTACTAGGATAGCTGTGAATAATTACATCTTAGACATATGTTTTGTCCTGAAGAGAATTAGCAGTTGTTAGTGGATGCAATGAACAGGAGCCAGATTTTAGAAATGCACTGAAATAGTTTGTTTATGAAATTCAGTATCCTCTCTCTTTAAAATCTCAGAGCTGGTGTTCATGCAAGTTTTTTTTTTTTTTTTCTTTTTTTTTTAATTCAGGTTTCAAGATGGCAGGCAATTTAGAGGCAGAGGGGACTGGCAAAGTGGTAATAGACATAATCAGTGGCCGGGAAGAAGCTGGGGTAACAACTACCAACAGCACAGACAAGGACAGTCTTACTACCCCCAGTATGAATATGGCTACAACTCCTATAATCCAAGGCCTCATTATGGTCGCTATTAATATTCATTGAAACCATTTCATTTGAAGCCAGATTGCTCAATTATCTTGTATTTTCTCTGTAACTTTAAATAATGGTTATTGGTTTTAGAGAACCTGTTGATGTCATTTTGTAGTTCAAATTAACACAGATGTGACCTTTGTTGTGAGTAATAAAAAAATTCTATAAATAATCTCTATTGAGCCCACAGACATGATTAAATTTTTCCTCCAGTTCTTTTTGGTAGGTGCACATTACAACAGTGTCTTCCTCTACCTTGTTTTGAACATCATCTCATTATATTACATCTATTAAAATTAATAGTTCAGATAAACAGATGTTTGCTTTGTGCATAAAGGACATGGCAATGACTGTGCATACATACCAGGGGGGTCTTGAAATTCTGATGCATATTGTGTCCTTTGCTTTGGAGGAGTATTGCTTATTATGGTCATCCATAATAAAAGACAAGCATGCAATCTGGGTGGGATTTGTTTTTCAACTGTTAGTACTACTGAGCTAATTAACAGTGTGGGAGTTCATGTAAGTTCAAGGAAGACATTGCTGTTTGTGTTTTAACTAATGTTGACCAAAAAAGCAAAGAAGAGGAAGAATTGTAAAAGATGTGAAACAAGACTCTTTATATGATATGTATTTCTCCCTGCTGAATCCGTAGTTTAAAATTGTATCCAGTGTTCCTCATCTATTTCTTTAAAGCACTACCTTTCTGCAATATTTTTCTGCATGACAGTGCTTCCTATGGCACACTGATGGAGAAAATTCATAGACCTAAAAATTCAGCTCCATTTTAACCTTTGTTATATATTTTCAATGGCATAAGTATTTTCTTTAAAAGCAGCCTAAAATGTGAAATGAAATAACTCAGTTTGGATGTATTTGTTTTCTAGTTCCAATAGATCATCACTGAACTATTTTTATATGTACTTTAACCTTTTACATCCTTACTTTTAAACAGTTACCTGGTAAGCATTAGCCTTACTGACATGGTTACCAAAGCAGCCTCCCTCAGTTAACTGGTTAAATAATTTAGGCAGTTTTTACATCCCTACTTAAAAGTGACATATCAATAATGAGTTTACATACTTTTAAAATAAACTCAGTAGGTGTACAGGTCTCTTTGGGAGTCTTGTTTCCTTTAATGTCAACTATGAGATTGTGATGGCTATTTTAAACAGTTTTTTCCCTTCTGTGTGGTTGTCCTACCACTTTTGTCTGTTCTTGGTAGTTTTCTTTTATGAATGCATATAGTCTTTTGCATGAGAAAAAAAGCAAGTACAATACAAGGAAGTATACTTATTACACTTTTTTATTAATTGAACTCTTGTATTTGCTGAAAAATGGATTATAACAAAATAAACATTACTTAAGATTCAGGAATTGCTATGAATAATATTTATGAAACCTGCTCTTAGAATGCTATTATGTCATAACACTGGCATTTTAGATTGACAGCTACACAAGAAGTGACATTTACTGATGAATGTTTCATACTGGGCAGCGGTTGATTGAAAGAAATGGTTTACTAATTAAGGCAGACTTACCATTAAGAGGATGAGACATTGTAATTGATTAGAAGTCTGGAGTGCTAATCTACTACCTTACCCTGTATTATACTAGGGTCACAACCCTTCAGTTTATCTGATAAGCACATTTGTGTTGGGAGAAGAGTGGGTTTTCTTTATTTAACATTTCACTGAGCTATTCTGCAGAGTTCAAATCCAACCAGGCCACTCTTATCATACAAAGATACACACTGCTTTGAAACTATTGTGATATTTAGTAATAAGAAAAAATATTAAAGCCTCTTGATAGAACATAGAGGAAATGCATAATTCATACTAGCAAAAAAAGTCATGCTTTTTACATTATTTTAAAAGTAATTTTATTTTTATCTACAATTTTATAAATCTGAACTGTGGGTAATTATATAAAATTAAGGATGGAAAGAAGCTATGGACCTCAAATGTCTAGCACCTAACTAGTAAGCATTTATTTTTATTTCTATTTTATTCCTCTGTCTTTTTCCTTTTAATAGCTTCTGGTGCAAACTGTTAGTATATTTCCCATAATAATCATCTTTAATTTTATTTCTGCTTGTGTAATCTCTTACCCATTCAGTTCTCTAGCATCCAGTTTAGTTTAGACCTCAGCCCTATTCATAAAATATTTCAGAAGGTAAAATTAACCTCTATGTGGCCTGCAGAAAATTCTCCTCAAACATCAAATCATCACAGCTGTCAGTGGAGCAGTTGCATGGGAAAGGGAGGCTGGGAAAATAAATGGAACCACCTTGCTCTCTGCATGCTGCAGATAAATTCTCAGCATTTGTTCTGGAAGTCACCAGCAGTACCATAGGATCACTGTTGTATAGATTCACCTTGTGCAAGATTCTTAACATCCAGAACTCAAAGTTAATGGGAACTAAGATGTCTCTCATCTGCAAGGATCAGGCCTCCATAGTGCAACTGCGGGCCAGGTTACTCTTCTATTTCATAGGCTGGTGTGGCATGTCAAAAAGGATACACTGCAGCCTGAGTGGAGGTAGTGGATTATGCATCATCTGTTCTTTGTCTGAGGCCCACATACTTTATTAGGTGGAATTACCCAATTTCACCTATAGTAAATAAAAGATTTGGGTAGGGGAAAATAGATAGCTGTGACCCAGTTGTAGGTGGAATTAGTTCAACTGTTAATTGTGTTTATTCTTTCATTTTAGTGGAAGTCTGTTTTGATTTTAAATGATTTAGCAATCCTTTTAGTAATAACTTTTAAGCCAGGAGTTACTTGGTTAAAAATGTTATTAATAAACCCTTTAACTGGATTCATGTGCCAGTAACTTTTTTCCAATTTATAGAATAGTTCTGCCCATAATCCCTATGAACCTGAACATGTTTAAATTTTTCAAAGTTTGTCACACCAGCTAAGACCTCAGCCCTAACTGTCGCATCGGAGGCGAATAGATGTCCTGATACTTACCATGGTTAGATTCTGTCTCATTGACAAAGTAAAGCTAACGGCTGAACCTGCTGCAAAAGGTAGGTACTTTCCACCAAACTCTGGTCTCTTTTGAGCCTTGTACTCTCTCACCAATTAGCTTGCAGCTCTTCCTCTTTAAGAGACTGGAAGCTTTTCTAAAACGTACGCTCAAAATTTGGTCTCTTCTGGCTGTGGAATCTGTATAGAGAATCCAGCAAGGCCCAGAGTCTTTTTCTATTCCATGCAATTCTCTCCTGACACTATGATCTGCTCTGTGAGTAAGCAGCAGGCAAATTTGTTGAGGGGAGCTGATAAAGTCTCCATTGTTTTTTCTGGTGCTTCCCCCCTAAGAATTAGATGGATTGATTTCAGAGGATGCATCTACACTGTACTGTGATGCGAAATAATATATGCAGTTTGAGCTACGCAAATTGCATAACTTATTTTAATGCTATTTCAAAATAGCTTATTTTGTCATTTGGTGCTGTCTACGCAGCACTGAATTTCAAAGTAAAGAGTTATTCTGAAATGTCCCTTACTCGTCATGGAATGAGGTTTACAGGGATGTCAGAATAGTGAGCCCAAAATTACGCTGCTGTGAAGACGCGGGATAGCTATTTCAGGATACTTCAGTATCTCAAAATAGCGTTGTTGTGTAGACGTAGCCAGCTAGACGTAATTCATGCAACACTCATTTCAATATAATTTGAATGTATCAATCCGTAACTTCAAGTGCTTGAATAGTTAAAACATACAGAACTGTCTATTGTTCATCTACATTGTAAACTCCTTGGTCCAGTGAAGAGACTGTCACTATATAATGCTCTGAACTGATAGTACTTTACTTTGTCAAACAGCTATACCAACAGTTAACCCTCACAATATTCCCTATTAAGTAGGCAGGTAGGTAGCTGCTATTACACTATGTTATAAATGGGGAAACAGAGACCATGTGATTTGTTTAAAGATCACCCAAACTACTGGCACAGCTCAGGAGTTCCCAGGCACAGGACTAAAATCCAGTCCCCTAGACTCTGTTTTCTCCTTGTTCTTGCAAGTCTGAATAGTGTTATTCATATAACCTTCTTCAGCATTAAAGCTTTTGCTGCGTCTCCAAAGTCAGAGTAGAGAGTAAATGTCTGCGTGCTGTGAAAAGCTTCTGTAAAATAATAGAGCTGAAACCTAATTTTGTGCATGAATAAAACATTTCAAAACAAATCTAAGCTAGCCTCACACTGAACTGAAATATAATTGGTCCTCATCTAGGCCGTGGCATCTTGAGATTAGTTTATTGGCAGCCAGGGTTGCAAACATGAGTGAATGTTTCTGACAGACTGCACTCTCTCGTCGTTTTCGTTCTCTATCACGTTAAATCCATCTAGGAAGTGTGCACTGTGACAAAAGCATTTCTCCTCTGCTTGGGGTTATGTTACTGCTGATGAAACTCGAGTCTGGCATTTTTTAACATGTCTTGCAACTTCAGATACTAAAGATACATAGTGATTAGTGTTTATATAACACTTTGCCTTTAATATGCCATAGGGTTAGTCTGAAATACCAATGTCTGGAATCTGATTTTGAAAGATGCCTGCCCTATAGACCTTTGTTCAGATGTCTGGGAGGAAACTAAATAAAAATGTTCAAAATAAAACACTTATACATAACTTTTTATTGTTAGTGCAAGTGCCTTAATGCCATATTATAAAGGATTTAGTTACAATAGGCAACTGGAAGATCCAACTGTGGCTCCTACACCAATTCTAACTGCCCCTTTGCACATATGTAGTAACTGGAAAACATTTATTCTCCAAAATATTGTATAACTGACATGATGCCCTATTATAGATGTTGAGAGACCTATAACGTTGACTTCTCTGTTCTTTGTAGCTGTCAGTTCTTGACTCTAATATTAAATATAAAAAATGTCTTCAAAGTTTTTCCAAGCTGGAAGAAACTGAAAAACATGAGAACACTTGTAGATGCAGAGTTCACATTATGCTTTGTGAGTTACAGTTATACAAGCATTCTTTGATATTTAGCCTTTGTTGATTCTATATTCTTTGGTTTAATTCTTCAAGTGGCTGTTGTAATATGCAGACATTCCTGGAAGATTTAGCTAAAAGCTGACTTACTTTTAAGAGGCACAAGAGCCTCTTAAAAGATATGGATGATGGAAGTCATTTTTGTTCCATACAATTTCTGTGTAAGGATGCACTTCAACTTCTAGCCCAGAAAAATGTATTTGAATTGTAATACAGTGGAAGCATTAGTTTGCTGTTTAAGTGTTCTCTTGTTAATGTATTTATTAATTAGCTTACTAACAACATCTTACGGTCTTTATTAGAGTAGGTGGGGAGGAAGAATAACTTCAACTTCATATAAACAAATACAATAATTTAAGATAAATTGTGCTGGTGTTTTTTTAGGTCTTTACTAAATAAAAGGAATTCCCTGGATGTTTTTAAAGGCTCTTCAAAAATATTCCAAGTCCCAGATAAAATGAATTTTCATGTAAAATATGCCTACTAGCCAGCATGCAACTACTAACCAACAAATAGCTGTTTCCTGGCTACCCACAAATAGTAGATTGTTTGGTCTTTGTGAAAAAGTTGCAGTACTTCTAGCAATAATTAAAAGAAATTCTCTTGTGAATGGAATCCTTAATTTGCATCATTCTTCAGAACGAGAAGTTAAGCGAGGACACCTCTGTTTAAAAATTGAATTATGAAATTGACAATGACATCAAAATTACCTTCATTGTGAAAAAACTGAATAGTTTATGAAATAATTTGACTGGCCAATAGACAAATGAACATTATTTTGTATATTTAAAGTTGTTGTTGAAATTAAGCAGTATGTAAATCAGCCCACCACTAACATTTTTAGTATTGTGTTCAGTTCTAACTATAGAAATTCAGTGAATAATGACTTAATGTTCCCTGGCAATCAACAATATGTACTATATCCTCATGTCTCTGTTTAAAGCAGAGCTGTATAATCCCTATTTAAATTAGGCATATCTGGTATTCTGCCACTCACCAAATAAGAAAGATTATTGTCAGCTTAGGAGTCCTTCAGAGTGCTTAGGAAAAATGCTGCTTGATCCAGGACATATGCACGTAAATCCAAATGATCAAAACAAGGGCCACTGTCTCTGGAACTGTCAATACTGTATTATCAATGGTAACGTTAGTGATGCATAATGGTCTCTTTCCTCTCAGGATTATTTTTTCATTATTCCATGCAGACCTGAATTTATTTTCATGTTTACCACAGAATAAAACTTATGCCAAAGCACTGACTCTTGATTGTCGGGCTCATTTTGTTCTGCTTAATGTAGATACCAAAATGCTATTTTTATACAAGTATATCTCTGTTTTATTAAATGCAAATGTACTAAA